CTTAAAAAATGAGACTTTAAATAGATTAAATATAAACATTACTTATACTGAAGATAATATTAATTTTATCTTAAATTTCTAAAATTTAAACTATGAATCTAAAGTCTTTGATACTGAACTATTTATAATAATAATTTAATAAAAGCTTTCAAACTCATTGAAATAAAATCTTATAAAAGAGAAAATAATTTAAAAGAGATATAAATATTCTCTAATAATTAAACTGTTTTAAATAGACTTAGAAATAGTTAGATTTATAATAATTAAATAAATCTTAAACTGATTTTAAATTCTGTTTTAAAAATTTAAAAGAGAAGAATATTAAAACTAATAATTTATTTATACTGAGTTTCTACTTATATAAATATTTATAATAATACATTGACTGATTCAGCTGTAAAAAAGAGTTTAGAATTAAATAGATTTATTTAAAAAACAGTATTCTAATCTTTTATAAAGAGAAAGATAAAAGAATATTATTTAAATAAATAAAATAAAAACTGATAAAAATAAAAGAATAGTATATATTATTCAAGATTTAAAATATAACTTAAGTAAAAATCTTATTTAATTAAATATAAAAAGAAAATATTCTCATCTATAATTCAGCTGAAACTAGAATATAATTATTTTAAATTCTATATATAAAGATTTAATAATAGATTTAATTCAATAGAATACTTATTCTATAATATAAATAAAAATTCTGAGTATATTATAATACACTATATATTATACAATAGTCTCAGAGTTAGATTAAAAGAGAAGTATAATTTAAATTAATTAAATATAAGATTCTTATTCTTAACTGAAATAGAAATTAAATACTTAATAAACTTTCTATTAGAAACTTAAACAGTTATAAGAAAATAACTAAATTCAGAAATATCTGAATATAAAGAGATAAAAATTAATTAAATATAATCTATTAAAATAGCTATATACTATCTTTTAATAATTTTATTTTATTATAGTCTTTTTTTACTTTATTTTTTCTTTTCTATTCTTTTCTTATCTATTTATTTAATATATCTATCTTGAAGACTTTATTTTCTTTTCTTTTATCATGATATTTCTAAATAATTTCAAAGTATTAGAAGATATTAAAATACTGTAATTTATAAAGAGTTTTTATATTCTGAGTTGAAATTTTCTGATTTTATATATCTGAAATTGATAAATATATAATAGTTAACTCTATAGATATTAGAAAAACTCTGAGAACTAAAAGTTCTCAGATAGATATCATAGTCTCTTTCTCACTGAGATTTTTTATAGATATGAAGAATTTTTAGTGAGTATTACTGCAGTACTGAGCTTGATTCTATGAAATCACTCAGTAAAAGACTTCACAGATAATACCTTAGAGAGAAAGAGATATGTAAGACATCTCACTTCTCACAGATTCTTTATCTCTATTTCTATCTCTTATGTTATTCACCTTTGACCGTCGCCGCGTCGGGAAACGGCCTCCGATCCAGATACGGCCGCCCCCGATCGGGCCTAGCGTTAATTACAGCCCTCACTCCTTTTGCCCGCCTATAAATACCGCCATCCCCTCGCTGCTTCTGTCGTTTCGCTCGATCGTCCATTTTACTCTTTTTCTTCCCGCCGCCTCACCCAACCTCACCTGAATCCGCCGGAGGCTCACCCTGCGCTCACCTTGCTCACCCTACGCTCAGCCTACGCTCACCGTACGTGGTACACTGCCCACACTACCTTCCCGCCCAACCACCGCCGCGGCGTGCCTCAAAACAACATCTGCACGCTGTCCACCACTGGTTTGGTTTTCATCCTACATTAAATGTCCTCTGGTTGCTCTGATTTTCTTACTGCTATGTTAAGAATTTAGTTGGCTCTTGATGCCTTGACCATCGATCATTCTTACTACTTTGTTGATGTCTCCGCCGTCCGAATCGTACCGCTTCTGCCCCCATCCACCCTGGAATTCAGGTTTCATCAGGGTTTGCCAGGGTATGGCGCACTGTTGTACGACTTGCAGCTGTAGCCCTGCTTCCATTGGCTACATCGAGAGCAATCAAAACCCCTTTTCCGATCAGAGTGGCTATTGTCGCAGCGCAGGGATGGACAATTGAGGCTGCCTGGCAGAATCCGGGCGATGGCCCTGACTGCTGACGTGGCCTCTTCATTCGGATCGACTTTGAATCATGGGACGCGAATCTCTGGTCACGCTACCCCTTTTTAGCTGTCACAAGGGTGTAGCTGGAAGGCTTGCAGAGACTACCTGGCTAGCCCCTCACGCACATTGTCACGAGAACTTGCTCTTACCTTGTGATTCGCAAGCGAGCTTGCGTTGCAAGGGTGGGTTTCCTGCATTAGTATTGAAACCCAGCGGCTGCGCCGCCTTTCATTTCCCGGACAAAGCCCGAAAGTCCTTCCTTTCCGCGGAGACCGCAAGGCATTTTGTCGTTCCCGGGATTGCTCAGCTCGCCATGGATCAATGAGTGTGGGACGGTCGGGTCATGATTGGATGAGTCGCCATTTCTACCTCGCCTGGGGGCAGCTTTTCCGTCCAGGAATGGAGGCACTCAACATGTGGTTACATTGAAATAGCTTTAGTTCTAGGGCCTGTGGAACGGGAGGAACTGAGAGAGTTCTCTGCCGCCAGGACGTCCAACCTCAATAGCAACATAAAACTGCTGTGTTTTCCGCCACTTTTACATTTCTTCTGCTCAATCTTTCATACGCACCATTGAGAAGATGGACAGCTTTCAGATGGTGTTTCCTGCTTCTCAGCCAGCCCTTCGTTTCATCCCGTACGAACCACTAAAGGCCGTAAAAATGAACGATACTGTGAATTTCCAAATCAGTCACTCTACAAAAAAGGCCTCGGAGTCTCACGAAACATCTCCTATACAAATTATAAAAACGTCAAGTATGGAATCGCCACCGCCCTCACTGCCTCAGAGCCAGCCTGTGGGCCAGCCCGTCAGCGGGAAGAAGCGAGACGGTCCAGCCAGCGATGATGAAGATCCACTCTGCGGCCTTTTCTCCGATGATGATGATCGTGGCATGCCAGATGTTGATACCTATTTTGATTCTGACGAAACGTCCCGTCAGCGAATGTGCTCCCCTTGGGCCGGCAAAAATAGCCATGAAAAATCAAGGACGAATACACGAGCTACCACCGTCTCGGCCGACGCCATTCGTAATTCTCTCATATGTACCAGTTTCCCCGATGAACACAAGGGCGCTCGACAGGGCCATGTGTCGTCTGGCAATAGGGGCTGGAATGACCAAATGTACGATGAGGAGATACCGGAGACTCAGGCTCCCTGCTTTCAAGACAGCCAAGGTTGGTCTTTTCGAAGCTGTGAATCTATTTCTGCAATTCTAATCTAAACATATCAGATCAAGCGATCCTTAGGGATGCTGGTACCAATGACAGTATTTTGCATGAGACCCTTGATGAGAGAACCACGCTGGCCATGTCGCTACCCTCACCACCTGCACGGCATTCTTCTAAAGATGTGGAATCCGCCCTGCGAACCATAAACCCTCATACACCGGCAGAGCCTGGAGCCTCTGAAGGTAATAATGTCTATTCATATTTTTGGTCTCTATGATTCTAATATACACCAGATACGCCGATCATAATCACCGATGACACCCTGTGCTTGGAAGACGGGACCACCACCAGGGGCGATGTATCCTAGTCAGATACTATCTCTGGGAAGACCACTGGATGGTCCAAGTAACCAGAAACAGTCCAAGGTGTCTTTGGAACACATGGTCAAGCAAGAGCATGGATCGGAAGAAGATGATGCAGTCCCCCTCATTCGGGCGTCCAAACGCAAGCGTGAACATGCATCCAGGCTAGAGGGTGGTGAATACAACACCATCGAGGTGGTTGATATGACCTGCACGACCAACGATACTGCTCGCAAACCAAAGCGGCCAAAGAGGGACATTCCACCGATCTCCCCTGCTGAACATCATGGCACGTCAAGGGGCAGCCGTCCGCTGAATGGAAGCAGCCTGGTTTGGCAATACAGAGGCCTCATCGGCTATGAGGTGAGAGATGGAAAACCATTCGTTCGCGTTGCGTGGCACTCCACCTGGGAGCCCGCAGACGAGTTCCCCCTTGACGAGGTAGAAAGAGTGAGACTTGTGCAGGAGCCCTCATCTTGTAAAAGAGTGGCGAAGAAAGCAGGCAGGCCAAGGAAGGCCCGGGTAGAGAAGTAGATTAAATAACTCTCTTTTAAGACTCAACTTATGTCCCTATGCGCCGTCCGTGGGCATTGAATTTTTGGGGATCCATTCAACTTGTAGATCACCCTCCTGAACACGTTTTCGGAGCCAGTGCTCCTGTCGACGTGGCGTAGACTCAGAGAGTGTGTGCGGCCGAGTGTCAGTCCAGGTCTGGGTGAGAAAACCGAGGTGATCCGGTGCGGGCAGAGCAAGAGGAGGAAGGGATATGGAGAAAGGCCGCGGCGATGGACTCTCAAGGAGGAAACACCTACTGGGTATGCTCAAGGAGCGGCGGTGCTGCGCCAGCGGCACTCGATACTTAGAAACAAAGACGCGGGAGAGGCGCTCATTCGAAGGAACCCGCTGCTGCCACACCCGCGCTACCAGTTGTGATAAGATAGATGATGCAGGGGCAGAGATGTAGTTCTCTGCTGCTGGTTTCTGGCAGTGGCTGGACATCTACTTGATGTGTGCCGCTAGAAAGGCCCCTTGGCTGTGAGCATCGGGAATGTCATCGAGAGTACGACTATGAAATGTACAGTAATAGAGACTTTGGCCTGTAGATATTCCAGAACAATGATTCAAGAAATATCACTGCTCGCCTACAACATCCTGCTCTTCCTGCACACGTTGCAGCTCTTTGATCATGGCTTCCTGGTAGATCGGGATTCAACGTCTTCCACCGTCCGCCATCAGGGAAGACAAGTCGGCGTATCCGGTTGACACAACGGTTCAATGGCCGATCTAACAGAGTAAAATTATCCTCTACAATCCTGAGAAAGTCTTCTTCATTCCTGATCACTCATTTCTTTTTTGTAGCCCAGCTTGTCTGTGTTGACGTAGTTCGACTCTTCAAAGTCCTTGACCCCCTTCGCTGAGACTTCACAGGGCCATGATAATGAATGCATACCCAAAAGAGCACCCAAAAAAAAGA